TTTCCATCACAGTCTCCATTAAAAATATATAAAAAGATAATTTTACCCCTAATTTTTTATTCTTATTTATCACCAAAAAATCAGATTTCTTAAATGACCATTATACTTAGGGGTACAACTTGAGTTGGGAAACCCGAACCCAACCCGAGCCCAGTCTGATTTTTTATGGGCTTGGGTAATCATTTTAACAATTAGGGTTGAGTTGAAAAATCCCAACCTGAATTGAATTACGGTTGGACTTGGGTTGAAGTGCTAGCAACCCAAGCCAACCCGAACCCGGATTATAATATTATTTATATATATATTTTTACTTTAAAATACATTATATATAATATTTTAACTATGATTACTTTTTTTCTTTTCAACTTTCTTTGTTAAATCTTCACTTATTGTATATTAACATTTAGGAGACTTAATTTTCTAAGAATTTGTTCGTAATTTATTAAAAATTTACAAAAAGTCTTTGAACTTTTTCTTATTTAAGAGTAATTTAATCTAAAACTAATTTAAGATCATATTAAATTTTTAGTGTGAAGATTAGCTATATTAGTAACCCGAATTAACTCGAAGTTTTAATACGAAATCTAAGCCCGAATTTAAAAGTAGAAGGATGGGTTGGACTCGGGTTGAGTAGTTAGGGTTGGGCTTCGGTTTAGCATTTTATATGGTGGGTTCTCAAGTTATACCTCAAATCCGCCCAACCCGCTCGAGTTGCAACCTTAATCATGGTTCGTTGGAGTTCGTAGCCTTTCCAACTTGAGCTATTAAGCCCTTTGGAGTGTCTCTACACTTAACACCCTAAAGCCATCTGGTTTGGGAGTTGTTGGCCTAACGCTTGCTACATAGGTTGGTTAGAAAGCTTAAGAGACTTCAGCATTGCACAACCATCTTATGTTTCACTTCTAAGTTACAATAAATTGTCAACAAGCAACAAAAGTTGTCTTGTAAATAAAATCATGCCTTAGGGACCTCATTTAAAGGGGAATTCAATGATTTGAAAACTTGTGCTTTGGAATTGGAAAAGAAAGTAAAAGCCGCATGTTGAGAATCCAATTCACTTTCACTGAAGTTAGAGTTGATTTCCATTCAAGAGATGATAATTGAGTTATTTATATAGTCTATGATGTTGATACATACATGTTGAAATGTGTTTAGTATCAATGTTTTATATATGCAAGGTAGTCTTCCCAATGACCCCATCTCCAGTTCTTTGTTGTTTCAAATTGTATTTGAGCTATGTTTGCACTTCATTTCACCATGGATGATATTTTTGTAGTAGCATGCCCATGGTTGTATTTTCATTGAAGTATTCATTTTGGTTTTGCTAAGGGACTAGCAAAATGTAAGTTTGAGGGTGTGATAAGCGCCGAATATTGCATATTCAAGCGCCCTTAATTGAATTATTTAAGTCCATTGTTTGTTTAATTATGTAGATTACCTTCATATGCATGTTTTTGCATATTTTCAGGTTCATTGGCCAAAAAGAAGCAAGAAGGATGCTTTGTGGAGTTTTGAACATCAAAGGTCACAATGCTGAATTTATGGCAGCAGTGGAACCTGGACTTTGCTTGCCATTTTGACCTTGAAAACTCAAGAACTGGACTTCCCTCATAACATGCATATTTAGAGCTCTGAATCAGCTTTCCAAATCTTCAAGCGGTTCATCATTCGGAGTTTGGAGCAGAGAGTTATGATCTTCTTATCAGAGGTGCTCAGAACTGCCCGGCAGCAATGAATTTCTGTCTTTCTCTTCAATTTCGACCAACCAGACTTGAGAATTGGATCTCCACCAAAACATAAAGTTTTTAGAGATCTGAATTAGCTTTCCAAATCTTCAAACAGTTCATCATTCGGAGTTCAGAGCGCAAAGTTATGTCTGTTTTACCAAAGTAGGTCCGGGCAAAGCAAGGCAAGCATGGAGCAATCTGCTCCATTTTCAAGTGCTCGAGGCCCTATTTCGAGCACTCGAAATTTGGGCAGAATGCCCTTCGGAATTCAGCCACTTGCACCTTATTTTCCTCATTTTTTATCTCCCTCTTTATGGAGTGGTTGGGGATGTTTTTGGAGGGGAGAGAGAGCCTTGTTTGGAGGTAGATAAGGGGAGGAAAGCCACACAATCTCATATCTCACTTTTGGATCAAATTTTTGGAGAGAGAAGAGAGCAAAGAGGAGGAGTTCTTGAAGCTTCAAGGAGGAAGCTCGAAAATGGAGGGGAAAGCCTTGCTTCTTCCTTCATCTAGGGCCACCATGGGTAACTAAACCTCCTCTAGGGAGGTGATGAAGCTCCATTTTGTAAGCTTTGCTTTGTTTTGATTTATATTTGGGGGTTAATATATGTATGTAATCCTTCCATGAACTAGAGCTCTTCATTTGATGTAATGAATTTCAATATCTATACATAATCATCTTGAGTTAACTATCTTGTCTTAGATGGTTTTTCTCTTATGATTATATTGCTACATTTTCATAGTGACAATGGAATGGAGTTTATGGAAGTGTTGTTAATGGCATGATATTTAGGAGATTTGATAATCTATTACTTAGGATCTTCCTTTGATAGATTATTCTTGGATTCTATGTCATGTGCTTTTACTATGTGATTAAGGGCTTGATAACTCTATGCTTAGTAAGTATGTCTAAGGTTACAACCTAGTTTAGGTAACCAAAACATGCAATGCTTTGATAGGTTATTCTTACCTATTGATTTCATAAATTTCTTGAAGGGAGTGTAATAATTTGTGTTGTTGCATCCCATGGTTATACATATATGTTATTCCCCTAAGTAAATCATATCCTAGCATGCTTATTGATGGTTGTGGAGTCTCTTCCCTATTCTCTTCTCTATTGTTCTATCTCATCTAATTCTTGCAAGTCACTATTGTTTGATGCACATTAGAATTCCTAGTTTAGTGACCATCAAACAAACCCTTATTACCCCTTATCATTCTAAGAACAATTCTAGACACTTAGGTTGCCATAGACTAGCGCAGTCCCAGTGGTTCGACTTACCCGACCAATAGCCCTATTTTACAATGATTCGTGCTATTGCGAAGGTTGATGTTAATTGACCAACCGATCACCGATCACCTACCACCACAACCCACACACCCGCCACGGACTCGCAGCCACCACCACCATCTCCACCTCCACAACCACCATTGTCATCCCACCTCCACAAGGACCACCACCATCACAATCTGATGAATGTATAACCACAGACCTCCTAATCACAAAATGCATTACCTATTCTTCTTACAAACAAAATCCCAACTTAAATATATATATACACACACACACACACACACACAAGGATATATCACCATAAACTCACAGACATCTGTTCTAATCTCCTTCAAGCTTCACTCGGTTGTTAGCAATCCCATTCACCCACTCTAGCAAGTCAATTACGTCCCTCAAAAACCTCTCTCTCACTTCCTTCCCGATATCAACTATCGCCAACTGTTGTAACATGGATTGATGTTTCAATTGCTTGATTTTGTTGCCCATTTCAAGGATTCTCAGTTTCAATGGCTTGATTTTATTGTCCACTTCAAGGATTCTGGATTTCAATTGCTTGATTTGGTTGCCCACTTCAAGCATTCTCGGTTTCAATTGCTTGATTTTATTGTCCACTTTGAGGTATTTTTGTTTCATTTCCTAGATTAGATTCATCGATTCAAAGCTCATCTTATGAATTGCACATCCCTCTATGCATTCTTGCCCAACAAATTTCTCAGACTTTGAAATTGCATAGTCCTGAACGAATTCCTCATCATACCACATCTTTTATCTTTTTCTGCAATTCTAATAAAAACAAAAGGCAAAAGTGCAAAAAACCCCCCTGAACTATCATAAATCCGTATTTTACCCCCTTAAACTACAAAAATGAACAAATCAGTACCACAACTATTACAAATCGTGCAAATTAACCCCTGAAACTCAATTTCGGCCACTTTCCGGCCCACAAGGTCAGCACGTGACTGTTTTTTTCTTTTAATTCTGAAATTGCCCTCGAATACTAATGAATATATTTATTTATTCATTTAAAATTTTTTGCCACATAATGAGATAAAAACCACCAAGAAGCTCATAACCGAGTCTTCCTTCCCGCCGGTGCCGCGAGCCTTCACAGCCCCGTTCTGTAACTTCCCTTCGTTCGTCCACGAGGCTGCTCTGATTAGTCAATTCCTCCTTCCTTCCCCCACAATTTTGTGATCTATCAACAGAAAAAAGAAGAAGAAAGGGAGCACAAGCCGAGTCCTCCTTCCCACCGGTGCCGCGAGCCTTCACAGCCCCGTTCTGTAACTTCCTTTCGTCCATCCACGAGGCTGCTCTGATTAGTCAATTCCTCCTTCATTTCCCCTCAATTTTGTGATCTATCAACAGAAAAAAGACAAAGAAAGAGAGCACAAGAACACCAAACATAACAGCAAAATTCGATGACTTCGGAGCCGTAGAACATTTAGATCGATAGGTGGTTGACCACCAGTTTTGAAATTAATTTTCTGCCCGCAAGGTCACAACCGATCTCTTCACAACCCATCGCTGGCCAATGCCACCATCGCCGATCCATGCTGCCATTGCCATTACCAATCGCTGCACCAGCAGGTCGAACCAGTCCTCTTCACAGCCCATCGCCTCCTATGCCGCCATTAACATCGCTACACCAGCCACCTCTAATATGATTGGATCAAAACCGGTAGTTTTTTTCATCAATATAATTTCTTTCTTGGCGTAAAGGAAAAAAACAAAAAAAAAAAAATAATAATGTATCTGCCTTTTTATTCTCCAATATGAAGAACATTCACCAAAATCACACCCAGAATACATATAATAGTACTAATTAAGTTTAAATCACTTACTAAATAGCAAGTACCAAAACTACAACAGCATCACATGCATATATAGTTGGTTGATACTACTATATATATATATATATATATATATATAATATTATATATATGAGAGAAGGTTGAACCTTCTACTTGCTGCTCTTTTTCTCAACAGTAAGCAACGCATTTATTCTTACAGTCCATTGTGCAACCACCACCGTTGTCGCCGGAACCAAAGTTCTTCCCGTATCGGTTGTAAGAGCTGAAGCACTTGGCCGGACACGTCAGCTTCTTCCCTGTACATGGACCCTTCTCTTTGCACACCACGGTGGGCTTAATCACCCCACCCTTAGAGTGCCTTCCACTCGGACCTCCATATCCATATCCGGGGAGTTCGAAGGCAGCCGTAGGGGAAGTTTGCAGTGGAGATTCGAGACCCGTCTCGGCAAGGTGCCCGGCTGTGGCTGGGAACATTTGACGACTTGAGAACAGAGGGGCATTGAGGGTATTTCACACTAATTATTTATTTTTGTATATTTTTTTTAATTACAATGGGTAGTTTTGTAAATTTAAAATGAAGTCGGCCGGAAAGTGACCGGAATTGCGTTTCAGGGCTTAATTTGCACGATTTTGATAGTTGTGGTACTGACTTGTTCATTTTTGTAGTTTAGGGGAGTAAATTGCCGATTTGTAATAATTCAGGGAGGTTGTTTGCGCTTTTACCAAAACAAAAACAAAAAGAATAAAAATAAATAAATAAATATAAAATCCTATCAAGTAAATTCTTCAGTTTAACAAAAAATAAAAAACTATAAACACACAGGAATTAAAAATTTTGAAAACAAGCATCATTGATTTCTTTGATCTTTCAACATCGAGATCTTTCTTTACATAAGTGTTTGTATAATGTGTATATATATTCATATATCTATATATATGTTTAAAGTAATACATTGTTGATGCAATATATATGTATCTATAATTTGTATGTATATATAATTTGTAAATTTATAAAATTTTAGGGATATTTTAGTCTTTTAATTCAATTATTTAGGCTAAAAAGTTGTTTTAACAAAGTCAAAGGGTATTTAAGTCATTTTATATCGTGTCTGAGCTAGTCAACTAACGATTGGGGTGTGAATGAAAAACGGAGCAAAAGTTTGTAATGTCAGTGATAATTATTTTTGAAAAATATTTTAGAGTGATACTTAGCCAAACCTGAGGAGATGTCAGGAAAATTAACCCTATTTATTTTTAATCATATCACAAAAGATGAAATTGCAATATATCAACATTAATTTATATATTTAAATGATTCTTAACTAATACTCACTCTGTCTCAAAAAGAATGTATCGTAACTCATAAATATGTTACATTTAGATAATCGTTTATGAGTCACAGTTTTCAAATGTAACATTTTTTTTTAGTTAGGGCAGAGATAGTTCATTCTTGAAATTCATTAAATAATTATTAACTAATTAAATTCACACGTTTTAACTACTCTCTCACAATGACTTGTTCGAAGCAACCATCCAATCCAACCCAATGCCATGCTTTTCCGTACGTTTATTTGCCTTGGTACCAAAAATGTCTGTTTTTATTATTATAGGCGTGGAATCTGTTTTTTAAATGGGTTTCATTAAAATTGACTTCCACGTGGACAATACCCAACCAATTAAAATGCTTAATAATGGTCTAGGAGTGGTGACAGATTGGTTTCCATCGGAGCATATTAGATATCAATTTTAATTTAATCGGCTCTTAACAAATTAAAAAAATCTTAATTCATCACCGAATTATTATTTTACGGAGAAAAAATTTAATTCGTCACCGATTCGTTATCGGCTCCTAACGAATTAGAAAAATCTTAATTCATAACCGATTCGTCATTTTACGGAGAAAAATCTTAATCCACATGACCGGTGGTGGATTAAGATTTTTCTAATTCGTTGGAGCGGATCAGCAGAATAATTAAATTAACTAATACATTTTTTTAATATATATCTCGCAGATCGAATCGAATTTTAACAGCCCACTTATCAGATCCGTAGGCTACGAATTTAATTTTTTTGAATATGCCACCAAACGAATTATTTTTCAAATATGACATTTCTTTATTCATTTAATTGTATTTAAAATTTTAAAATGTATTTGAATTTACAGTAGAGTTTGAATTTTTAGAAACTTTGGAATTTATAACCAAATGTAATAATTCAAAGTATCTTTTTATATATATTTGAAAACTTTTAGCCAATTTTAAACTCATCTTGAATTTTTTTTTTTTTTCTAACCAAAATAATAGAAATGTTGAATTGAAATTTTCTTGGTCCAAATCTTATTGTTCCCACTTCACTGCATATTATTCTTTTGTTCAAATTGTGGTCAGTTCAAATTGAAAATTTTCTTGTTCCAAATTTCACATACTAACACAATATGTAAAATGTGCACATCTTAGACACGTTTGGCCACTTTTGTATATATACAAGGAAACAAGAAGGAATGCCTTAAAATAGAAATGGTAATTTCATTCAAATATTTGATTTGATGAATTTATATGTGATGGGATGCAATAGGATTTTTTTTTCCCTAGTTGGTACTAACACACGTGCCTTCACCGAGATTCGAATCCCTGACCTCCCTTTGGGAAGTAGGAACTTGGTACCATTAGGGCACTAACCTGTTGGTGATGGAATAGAATCTTATAATGGTCTTCAAAGTAGTCCAACTATATTTGATTCTTTATTTGAATATATTTCATGTTATATATATATATATATATATATATATATATATATTCACATATTATATACATATACTATATACGGTTACATTAATTTATATATAATGAATGTACTATATTGTGTAAAAAAATCTTTTGTTTAATTCGGCATAATTTATTTTATAATATTGCAGCATTTAATTTAAACAATCTTATTAAATGTATGCGTCAATGTAGTAGTACATAGAAATCTCAAGTGACACGGAAACCAAGGATGGACACACAGTAGAATACATTATTTGCACGCCTCCTCTCCCTATAGATGTTCTTACTCTTTTCACTGTAGCGGTCTCTCTGTTCATCAGAGTGGAGTTTCTCCAAGAGGTTGTGTTACGCTGGGATGATTTCCCTGAAATCTCAAGTTAGTCGTCTCTGTGGGTGGTTGGGTAGGATAGGTTCATGTTTCCGGTGGGGTGTTGGTTCGAGTGTTTTGCACGGTGGACAACAGACTAGACAATATACGCCGATCTTTCCCTTTGATCCAGGTATTGTGATGGTCTTCCTTGTTTCCGTGTTTGTTCTAACTTTATATATGTGTTGTTTTGTTTTCTCTCTCGTCGTGATGTTGTCTTGGGTTTCAATGGATTCACCAGTAGCTATAGCTTATGGAGTCTGGTTGGGTGTTGATGCTTTTATTTCTCTGGTAGGTTCATGCCTGATGCCTGGACGTTCGCTTTCTCGTGGTATATTTCGTGTATCTAATTTGGGTCTCGATGTGGCCCTCATATACTATTGCATCATCGTGTTGTTTGAGGGTGTCTCTGCCATTAAATTTGGGAATAAATTTAGGGCTTTGGTGAGTCGCACGGGACTCTGTTGCATGTCTTTCGGCCAGGAACCGACCTTATGCTCTAGTCAAGATGTGTTTATTCTAGCCGCCATCGACTATGGGTCATGGCTTGGTTTTGTCGGAACATTTTGCCATGCTGGTCACAACTGGGTTTCTAGTGTGGCCATAAGTTTTACTGGTGGTGGCTCATCGGTGGTACCTTGCTTTACACATCTTACTGACTTATGTCGGCAACGGATTGAGGCTGGCGTGCTTTCGTTGCAAGGATTTATAGTGGTTAGCCAGGTTCACAAATGGGTTGATGTTGATAAAGATGATTTTGCTGATGGAGGCTTGCCGGAGAACTGGCCGAACTATGTGATTCCGATTCTGGTGACCATTCAACGTCCTCGAGATTTGTGCTGGTTGTGCTAGCAGAGGGCATCAAAGGCAAACATTGGGGTTGGAGTTTGTGGCATTGAAGTCACGACACGAAGCTATTAAAAGCTATTGGAGCATGCTTTTTTCTTTGAGTGGCTGATGATACAGTATGGGTCTAAGCCAAGAAAGGTCCACGCCTTGTGTCAAATGGTGGGCTATATACACATCTGGCTTTGAGATCTGTTTCTGGCCTTAATCATCATTAGTCTTTTTGGTGATGGAACCTATATAGAGATTGTAAAACACTTTTTATTTTGTGTGGTCAGGGTAGTGATTCCATACGCTTCCTTTTGTATCAGTTGGTGGTGGTTGTGTTGCTCTGTTCTATAAGTGCTGCTTGGCTTTGCCAAGAAAAAAAAAAAGACACGGAAACCAAGGGTTCGGTTCGGGCAAATAAAGACAACTATACCCCCTCATGACTCTCCTATGAAACTGGTTACCTAGATGGGCATTACTATCAAAACCCCTATAAAATGAGGTTCGGTCAACCTACTGAGGTAGGACACAAATAGAAACAAAGCAAGTCGTTACTATTCTTTTTTTGCAGTAAAAACCCTCGGTGAATTTTGCATTAACAATAAATATGAATATACTATAATGTTTGTGTATATATATATATATATATATATATATATATATATATATAAATGGGCTAATTTCATAAAATCTCCAATACTTTTAAATTTTAATTATAAACCCCCAACCTATTTTAGAAAACTCCCGATACTTTAAAAATGATCACATTACCACAATATTCGAGTCTGACCCGTTAACCGGTCTGTGAAATGTCAAATATGACCTTATGATTTACTCTTAAATTAAAAGTTGAAATTTATTATTTTAAAATTACAAGAATACCCCTGAATGGGTATTCTTCGTCTTCATATGAACTGGGTTATGGTAGCTCACCGGAGTAGTAACAGTTGTCTTTTCTTTTACTGGTCTAAGCACGCTGTCACTGGTGGATCAAGTCGTCGAATTTGGCTGCGTTGTTTGGGGCTTCTTGCCAGGCTTTTGGACATCTCTCTTCATCAAACATAGACAAAAGCTTAGTTGAAATCATGAAGTGGGTCTTGTCATCGTTGGAACTAGAGCATTGAAGCTCTCAGTTTTGGGACGCTATTTGTTCAGTGTTTTGCCGGAGTTGGGTCCTAGTTGTAGAGCTCACCGTTGCTCAAAGCTCGTGGTTCTATTCATCGTGGAAGTTTGGTTACGGTCATGGAGAAAGAAACATGAATGGTTGTTGAAAGTTTGGTCACCTTCGTGCTCGCGGTTGTGTCGTGATTGTCACCATCACCGTACTAGGTTTATCCTCACCGGACTCCGTGATTGGCAAGACGACAATATTACCACCGCTTGGTTATCTCTTCCTTCTCCATCTCACTTGTCGATGAACAATTGATTGTTTGCCCAACGATCTACACGTTTTATGAACAACGAGCATCAAATCACACATAAATGGAGTTCACATTCATCTCCGATTA